TGCATCGTGGCTTCTGGGAGGACTAAAATGCCCAGGTTGTGGATAACCTTACAGATGCTTCCCAGGGCATGGGTAGCCACACAGACTGCGCTGAGTTCCTGTAGACACAAGTGCGTTTCAGGACCTGGCAGCAGGGCTCCTAAAGTGCTTAAGGGGTCTAACCCAAGTGCCCCTGTGAGAGCTGAAAGCCTGCTAGGGTCCCAGCACCATTTGCACAGCTCCAGGGAGTGCTTTGAGAGCCTGGGGGTCTCTGCATTGTCTCAGCTTTGGTTTGTTGTCATTTTCCTTTCTGCAGAACAAGGCCCTTGAAATCCACACTGCTTGTGGCTGGAGAGTTGGTTCAAAGTGACTGACTGTTGCAGAAAGATTTTGTGTGGTGTGTGGCAGAAAATTAACATGGTTCTTTGATTTGATGCAGATCAGATGTATTTTGAATGATTTATTCAGAAACTAATTATGGGACTCCTTGTGTCCACTTTTGGGGGTGTTACAGGATTGCTCATTAACTTAACAAATGACCACAGGAAAAAAAAGCAAAAAGCAAAATGAACTGTCAAATGAAGTGGTAGGTTTGCATTGACTTTTTTTTTTTTTTTTTTCCATTTGTGCAGGGACAGTTCTGTGGAAAAAAATGTGGTACCAATCAGCAAATTTCAGCCCCCAAATTCTCAAATATCTAGATACCTAGATAACCCTCTCATTTCTCAGATTCACTGTTTGGGTTTGATACCACTTTAACCTAAATATATAAATATATTTTTAAAAGTCTGCTGTTGATTAATTAAAAATTTGAGACATCATACTGTTTTTTTTTTTTTTTAAACTTGCCTCTGTGATGAACAAATTCTCCAGCATGCAAGCAGTTGAGAATTCACTCTGGACAGGTGCCGTTTTTGTAGGTTGAAAATTTTAAAGTGGAGATGGTTGTAAAGATGTTCTTTGAGGAACGCACTTTCAGTTTGTGGAAGAAGAGGCTGAGAAACGTGCACTTCATTCATGCTTTTCTTCTGAGTTGATATTCCCCAGGCTGGATGTTGAATAAGCAAAAACTAAAGCTTAGCTCCTTGCTCATGTTGTCTTAATAGCTGCTGAAGAATTGCATTGGGAAATTGGAGAGAATAATGAAAAACAGACGCAGTTGGAGCTGCAGGTTGAGGATGTGAGAATGTGAAGGACTGAGTGGTAAGGGTGTGTCTGGGATCTGTGAAGGAAGCCCAGTGCCTAAAAGCTGGAGAGCTGCCTCAAACTGAAAGAATGAAAACTTGTCTCATGGCAGAGGCCTTTCTGAGCTTCTTTGGGGCTTCCCGTCAGGCGTTCTAGCTGTCTGATCCACAGACTAGGTTAGAGTGAAAGCAACTTCCATCAGTAGTAGGCAGGAGCCTGCCTTTTGTGGGTGTCTTTCCCTTTATTTGCAGAAACTCTGAACATTCCGTCAGGATTTAGCCGAATGACCACTAGGGGGCGCCCCGAGAACGCCAGAGACTCATTTCTCAGCTGCAAGATTGAAGTCCGCTGTTATTGTCCAGCCTTAGATCTGTTTCCCATTGTGCTGTTCATTTCAGCTGAATCTCTTGTTTTACTAAAAAATTATGTGAAGATTTTGAAGATGGCAGAAGATCCAGGCACAGAAACTGGCAATCCCCAAATTGCTTCAAATTTATTCATGGGACCGTTTTCTGCCTTGTAGCTAAGCTTAATGTTTGCAAGACCCTGTGGTGAAAACCTTGCATTAAACAGATGGGAAAACTGAGGCTGAGGTTTAGTGAAGTGACGTCTGCTTTGCTACCTCTGCTGGGCACTCTGCTCACAGATGGTGTAAGGTCTTAAGTGAGAAACAGGAATTGTCAGGTGGAAAATTTCCTATGCCTGGCTGAACAGAAAATAACACAAAACAAACAAAAAATTAGTCAGCAAGTTGTTCTTGCCCAGACAGTGCCTGGTAACCTCAGAATCTGTCAAGAGCAGCAAGAAATTTTCATCTAAAGTATGAACTTGGAGTTTTCTTCTCATTTCAATGATATTCAAAATACCCACAACTTGCTTATAACGTACCCTTGGGGAGAATTGAGATAGCACTGTCTTACTTCTGCCTTTCTGATCTTCAGGTGAAATTCTGAAATGTTACATTTTTCATTTGTACCAGCGCCTTTCATGGCATCTCTCAAGAGGAACAGTGGTTCTAACCTGGTTTGCCAATGTGGGTGGCCGAAGTCGGGTGCTGGGTATGAGGCTGCTGAAACGCTGTGAAATCAGTGTTCCTGCTGAAAGCAGGGGCCCTGCTCAGACAGAGAGAAGTTTTTTAAAAAATGAGAATGTTGTGACTTTTAGTTGCACATCTGGAAAGGCCTTCTGAATAAAACAAAGCACAATACAGCATCATCTTCTGTGTTCTGTGAAAGGCGGTTCTGAAGAGAGTTGCAGAATCAGGAGCTTGGCATCGGCCAGTCCAGCCCTCGGCATAGTCCAGGCATCCTCTCGTCTTCATTCCCAAGTGTGGTCTTGGAGCCACTGCTGAAGCATGTCCATGAGACAAGGATTCAAAGTGGCTTATTCTGGAGATAAGCCCAACAATGAGACACTCTTCCTGCTGGCCATCCACAAAAACAAACAAACAAACAAATGCAAAACAAAACAAAACAAAAACAGTGAGACACTCTTGCAGAAAGACTAAGTGCTGTGGCTTGCATCCAAGTCTGTGATGTATCCCTTACTAGCTTTGTGACTTTGAGCAAGCTATGTGACTTTTTGAAACCTCAGCTTCCTCATCTGTAAAATGGGTTACTAATAATACCAACTTCATGGACTTGTGAGAATTGGATAAAATAATCTACATAAAGCCTCAAAGAGGGAAATTAACCAGTTTACTGCCCCTTTTAGCAGATTTTTTTCCTCATCTCATTTAGAATTTCACTTAGATTTTAAGACCATTACAAAGGCATGATGCATTGGATAATTGGCCTTAAGTCAAACAGAGAGAAGTAGGGGAAGTAATCAACTTTTCAGGGTGTGAAAAGTTTAATTAGGGAAGTGTGCCCATAAGAAGGTGAGACAATCAGTCAGATGCAGATAGGATCTGAAAGTCAATCAACATGCTAGATTAATTAGGGAAGTGTGCCCATAAGAAGGTGAGACAATCAGTCAGATGCAGATAGGATCTGAACTCCTTTCTAAAGTCTTGAATTTGGGCCTTGTTTATTGCACAACTTTTGTTTGGATACAATTTTGGACTGGGCTGTCTGGTGAACCTCTGTGTCATAATGCAGCATGCATTTTCTTTGAGCCAAACTCCCTGGACCTTCAGGCTGCACAAATCATGACCAAAAAAACCCAAAAGCGAACACGTATAACTTTTTGGGGAGAGGTGTCATGTGATCAACTCAATGTCAAGAGTCAAGTTCAACTTTCTCTCTGCACCAGGTTATATCCTGTGAGCAGTATGAACACGTATAACTTTTTGGGGAGAGGTGTCATGTGATCACCTCAATGTCAAGAGTCAAGTTCAACTTTCTCTCTGCACCAGGTTATATCCTGTGAGCAGTATGTGGTGTGGTGTGTTGTGAGCTGGAGGCAGGGTCTCTGAGAGGAGACTGGGGTAGGAATGCAGGACCGGTAGGCAGAGTGTGTCCCCATTCTGCCATGGCACCCCGGCTACCAGAGCACTTAGCCTGGGCAAAGAGGCATCCTCACTCAATGAGCCAAGTGATTTGACCAAAAATGGGTGTTTTAGGCTCTGGCCCAAAGTTACACATAGCCTAATGCAGGAAAACTGCAGATCAGGGAGGCAAATTAGTAAGCTGGCCTGCCAAACCAGGGGGTGTGTGGATATCATATACATGGTGGCTTATGTGCCATGTTGCATCTAAGGCCCAAACCCAGTTTCAGAGTGTGATGGACCTCGGCAAACATGTGGTCCAAGCTTCTCATCCTTGAGGCGGGAAAAATAAGGCACAGAAGTGTTAAGTGACTTTTCTAAGGTTGTACAGCTCATAAGTGACTTAGCTGGGTCTA